GCCCCACCCCGCGGTCCCGAGAAAAAGCCGCCAAGGGCCTATTGTTGGGAAGAGGGAGGTTTGGGGGGGGTGCCTGGGGGGGGGGGGCTGGATGTTACAGTACTTGGCTGGAGAAATCTAGGTGCCCTGGATGGGCGGGTGAGCCAGAGAGAGGGGATAGCACGTGGCCTGTTAAAAAAGGGGGGAAGGGGAAATTGGTGGGGTCTGGGAGCATGTTAAGGGGGGGGGTGAACAGAAGGGAACAGCACCATTGTTTGCAAAAGGCTGCCCCTCTTTTTCCTTTGTTGGAGGGAGGGTGAGTTTAGAAATCTGGAGAACAACACCCTCCCCCCCTTGCAATCTTTGTGCTGTACTTTTAAAGAAGCAGTTGTTTTAAAGAATTATGCAAGAAAAGGAAAGGCGAAGGCACTTTTCTGTGGTTTCATCTGGAAAGGGCCATAGATGCATCAAGGCACTTATTTGCGCCTCATTGCGCTGTCAGATTGTACATATATTTTCCCTGGCTGACAGTTCCTAAGAAGCACTGCAATTTCGAAAGAATTCTTGCCGATCAAAGCATGACATTACTTTTTCCAGCAGACCCGTAGGTGACATTGCTTTGGAAAAGAAGTGACACCTTAGGAAGTCTTTTCATTGTAGTTCTTGAGATGTTTGAATGTCTGCTCTTGCTGGAAATCAGGGCCAAGGGTTTCTTACCTCTGGAAAAACTGAGCAAGACAATCAAAAGGGAAAAACAGCCCTCCTGGAGTGTGGAATTTCCTGCCAGAGAGACTGCGCCCGTCTAGCCTATTTCTCCCTTCTATTATGGGCAGCCTGGCATCCTTCAGATGTTTTGGATTTCAACCCCATTGGCACAGCAGGCTTAGCTTCCCAATCACGAAGCAACGCGGACTTATGGAGTGGATGGCAGGAACAACTGCAGTGCCAAATGCCCCCCCCCCCAAAAACCCTAAAAATCTGCCTATTGTTTCATCAATGATCATTCCATCTGATGAAAAAGAGAAAGTAGTTTCTCTTCCTGCACTTATTTATTTGACCTAAGTCTTGCATTGTCTCTTGAATGGTCTGCCACAGGGTTCCTCAACCTTGGCAATTTTAAGGCGGGTGGACTTCAACTCCCAGAATTC